CTTTCCCCCTCTCTTTCTTCCCCTCCTTGTGTGTCTCCTTTCCCCCCTCTTTCTCCCTCCCTTGTGTGTCTCTTTCCCCTCTGTCTCTTTCTCCCCTCCCTTGTGCATCTCTCTCCTCTGCCTCTTCTCCCCTCCCCTTGCGTCTCTCTCCTTTCCCCCTCTTCCTCTTTCTCCCCTCCTTGTGCGCGTCTCTCTCCTCTGCCTCTTTCTCCTGTGCTGGGGATTGTGGGAACATGAGGAGCATGGTACAGAGACATGCTCCTCCCTCCTCCTCCTTCACTCCTCAGCCATCAGTGACAGGAGTGCCGCCGGACCGGTGAGGCTGCCACCCGGCCCGGCGCCTCCAGCGTGGAATGCGGCCGCCAGCCCACCGGCCCCCTCAGAGTGTGTGCCACCGGACCGGCCACCCGGTGGCACATACATGCTGCGGCCCACCGGGAAATTTCCCGGTATCCGGTGGGCCAGTCCGGCCCTGCCCACGTAAGGATATCAAATGTGGGCGCTGTTTATCAGATAGCTTGTTTATTTGGTAACTGGTACACTTATGGCAATCCCACGTAAGGATATTAAATTAGGGTTTTATCTTCTCAACAGCTGTAAGAGTGCAATTAAGAAAAAGGCCTTTCTTAGTTTCGGTCTTTCAGCAGTTTAGTAGATAACGCTCTAAATCAGTACTTTGTACCTCTGTTACTTAGGGAACAGCAGGTGTCCAATTTAAATAAATAAATTACATTTTCTGATGAAATTCGTTTCATCCAAATTTATATTTTACGAAGTTTAGAAGAAGCAAGATTAAAAAAAATGATGAATTAAAACAAAGCTAAATTTCACATCTCTACTGGTTATTGGAGTCCACCTGATCGTAGGACAGGTTGAAAGCTCGGCTGTCAATAAACAAGTATCAGTCACTCTTCCTGGAATGGAATTTCTTCGGCAGGGAATAACTTGAATAGTTACAGATGTTACTACTTTGAACTGAAGAGAATTTATTATGAAAACTGGACATATCTGTGCTACAGCCTCTAGAACAGGGCTGCCCAAAATGTAGATCCCCAGATGTTTTAAAACTACAGCTTCCATGATGCTTTGTCATTCTAAAGGCAAAGCATCATGGGACTTGTTCTAAAACTTCTGGGGATCTACCTTTTGGGCAGCCCTGCTCTAGCACATATTGTGCTTGTCAGTAGTGTCCAATCAGAAGGTTATCAACGTTCAGCTTTTGGCTATGGATCCAGCTTTGATCGATCAGTAATCTCAGGAAATGTAGATCGTAGCTTCTGCTAGCCAATGAAGCAAAGTTAACACACCCAACAATGCGGCCACAAACCCCGCAGCTAGTCAGTGGATCGGTGGCCACAGTGAATATATCCTCTCTACTCCACCAAGCAGTGGAGATCTTCTGTTCGAGTGGCTGTCATAGAACACAGAGATGTCAGTTTTCTCTTGTATGTACGTAGTGGGGAATCGCGATGCAGCCTAGAACAAAAACTAACCCCATTCAACCCCCCAATAATGACAGACCACTTAGTATGGATGAAACAGGCCACAGCATTTATTATCACAAACTAAATTACTGCATAACACATCCATAACTTTATTTATTAAATCTCTTCTTTTTCTGTAACCAAAACGTTAGACATAAATAAGCATAAATTAACATATATACATATATAACTTCACCCATAGTGTTATACAGTGACTCAACCGTCCTTGCCAATAAACATACAGTGGTTCCTAATCACCACTTCCTCTCACCTCCCCCCTCGTCATAAAAATCATATATTTCCAATGCCCGCCATCAGCCGACCTTATCCACGCTCGATGGGCACGACACCTCAGGCAAACTAATGTTAAACGTTTGAAGCAGGGGAGGTTGAGACCTTAAAAACTAGTTCATCTCATTCCATATACTTAAACGTAACCCCTCAAACTCAATTGACAAGGATATACCCCCGCCACAACCCCGCTGTTTTACACCTAAAATCAGTGGGGGACCCCACCATAACTAGCCATGGCCTGTTCCACCACTTCTGGCAGTGCTAGATTAACATAGAATAAATACTGCACCAGGAAATGAAATGACAATTCGGGATCAATCCAAAAAACACAAATAACATAACATAGCGCAAAATGTGTATATATATAATGATAGACTCCTCATGTAGAGTAAAACTCACAGGATTTAACGTCCTAGGCTCCATATAATATGCAGGAGGGTGCCTAAAAGGCTAAAACGATATCCTTGAGGAGAGCAGCACAGGATACAAAGTGCAGAATCCAAAATTTATTAAACAAATAAACAATTAAAACAGGGACAATATGCAGTGTATAAATAGTAAAATATACTGGGCACAAAGCCTAAATAAAACACTGCAGCGCAAATAAGAAAAAGCCCCATGTCATGCCAAAAGCATGAGTTGGTGTTTGATGTGTGTTGATATATGTTAAGAGTTGTTTTTCTGTAAACCTTGGGATGACATTTATTGTGGTCTTTGATCTGGCACCAGGCTTAGACCATAAAACATCTAGATAGCCATCACCAGAGCTGGACACAAGGAATTTCTCTGGTAAGAAACAGAATGCGTAACATGTCCAGATTTAAGAGCACCCAAATCCCAAACAGCCACCAAGCTCAGGTCATTCCACCCAGACAGATGACAAAAAAACCCGGTACCCCTAGTAGGCGGGACAGCTGACCCAGGACGAGGAGGAGCCACACCTCCCTCATGTATCTGGTGCCAGACCACCGAACCCCCACTCCCGAAGGCGTAAGATCCAACCACTCGCCCCCCGCCTCCTGTCCCAAATGACATATGAGCATCCTACCCTCCTTATTCCGGGGTGGGGGGGGGAGGAGACAGTAACCGCAGAGAGAAATCCATTTGGAGACCGGCAGGGTGAACCCAAGGAACCTACCACCCTGACCCCCACTATTCAAGCCCTGTAAATCAGTGGCACAAGCACGCCCAGCCTGGCGGTGTCTGTAGCCGTCCCTAACCGGACTGAATGCCCCCTGAACTCTCCACCATCCTTACCCAGGAATTCTAGCCCCAATTGGAGCACCCCCACGACATGGACGCAGACGAGAAAACCCGGCTTTGAGAACCAAACAAGGGGAGAGGAGGCCGAACAACCCAGGGGCGGAATAGCCCTCACCGAAGGAAAACAGGACACATGTGGGAACCCGGCGCTCCCCCCAGTTGGTATATTTCCAACTCTCCTGGGAACCTAGCACATCCTGTTAGGAGCCTAACCATTACCCTGTGCATTCCATCTACCTCAAGAGAAAGCAGAAAGGGCCCGGTTATGTCAACCCCGCAACATCCAAGAACGGAACAGATTCTATTGATGAATCAGCCAACCGCTACCAACTTACCTTTCCCAAATACAACAGCCGTCGAGCAGTGGAAGAACTACCCACCTGTCCGGGAGTTGGGTACCCCACGCCTACCATGCCACCAGAATGGGGAAGCTCCAAGACAGCCAGTCTGCAAGAGCCCCAATGCTTGCCAGCTTACTGAGCAAGAGTCAGAACACCATGGAAAAAACCCAATTAGGCCCCAAAAACTACCAAACCCGCTGCTGGAAGTCAGTGGAAGGGACTTAGGGGGCCTGATTGCACAAGCCACCGTTAATGGAGGCCCAAAAGGAAAATCCCATACCGCCCCAAGGGCAACACCAACAGGCAAAGCCCAGCTTACCCAGGAGGGCGACATTAAGAGGCCACCCATGCGGTGCACACAGCCACAGAACACTGACTGTCAGAAATACGGCTGTAACGGACCGTTTTGCACACAAGGGGTAAAAACTGTTTAGGCGATCGTCCCCCTTTCCAGAGATGCAGGCACAGCTACTGCAGAACACCAAACTCCCGAACAGGATACCAAGTAGCACTCCAAATTCACGAACTGGAACCTCACGAATAGCTGCTAACAGCTGAACAGGAAAAGCACCCAAGCAGCTTACACTCCTGGCAATCAGTCTCTAACAGCATACAGTAAATCCCCCCAAGAACGAGACAAAGCTCAGTGTTGAGGGTCAAGCAGTGAACAGACAGAGCTGTGGGTTTATTGTGCTTATGTACACATTCTTACACATTAGTACCACCCACAGGGTTTTGGAACACAACCAATAAACACATACAATACACTCAGACACTCCCACACAAATTTCTCTGCATGTGATTCAATTACCTTACACAATGGGTAATGTAATTTAGCACGAGCAGAGAAATACAATTTTTCCACATTATTCATAACTTGAAAAGTATGCATCACATTTTCAGAATCAGCATACTCCAAATATAAACATACGTCAAAATCATCCAAATTGGTCCAGTGGTTCAAAAGATAGATCGCAGTCCTTTGTGACCACAGGAAGCATGGCTTTTCTGCCCAAAACCAGTTCCACAGAGTCTTCTATCCTGGAGATAATTAGAAGTAATCCACTTATCTCCAAAGACAGAAGCAAAACTCCATTGAACACATGGCAGCAAAAAGACAGTAAAATACAATAAAATACACAAGGTTACATTTATGACATAAAATACAGACATGCAACATATGCCCAGATAGCTTAGGTCTGAGCACACATTATTACTGAATCGCGCTCAGAGCACACACATACAGTTCAATTGCCATGGAGCCAAAGTCTTTCCCATAGTCTTTCATTATACGAATGGGCTCCATGCCATAGCTATCTGGGGTATCACTGCTCAAACAGGGCAAGCACCAAATGACCTGGCTTTCATGTCTTTGCAGGGGAAAAATCAAGCCTTTTAACATGGGGCCATAATCCAAAGGCAACAGGCGAGCAACCAGGCTTCTCCAATGCAATGTGGCGAGATTGGTCTCGTCACAACGGCCCGGAAAAAAGATGGAACGACAACCGAGTAAATAAGAAATCCCGCCGAGCGGACTTCGGGGGCACCCTAAAATTGGTCGGGAGGTAAGCCTACCAAGCTTTCTTGGTAAGCCGCTCCCGCACCACCCGAAGGAAGTCTCATATTGTCTGAAAGGTCCTGCTCGGAGAGCACCCACGTCCCACCTCCCGACAGATCGCCCGCATCAAAAAAAACACGGGGGACGGGATGGGCCCCCCTGCGACCAGAACCCTCATGCTGAAACGTCACAAGGACCCCATTTTCCGTCTGCAAATCCCCACCAACCCAGCTCACCCTAGGAACAACACGCATCCCAGAGAGTGTCCTGACAGCAGAACAACGTGGAGCATACCCGGGGAGCCCTTTCCCCGACACTGCTATTCATAACATACGATGCCCTGACACACTCCTCACGCGCCATGGGGCACAACCAATTATGGTATATCCCCCCCCACACCACCTGGAGTGCCTCCCAAGCACGGGGCCCCCCGCGGCATGAGGGAACATATAACTAAGAAAAAAAATCCTCACCACTGCTCCCTTGTATGACGCGACACGCGCAAGTCAAGCAGGCCATATTAGCGTCCCGCAGCAGCGTCCAAAGCCACCCTAACCACCTGCCTCTTGGGAGTCAACGCCAGTGCTATGGGGGGGTTAAATAACCGGAGTGGACTCCCTGGTAAGCGGCGTCCATTTACCGTTTTCCTCTTTTTCTTCTTTTTTTTTTCTGAATGTTTTATTTCTCATTCAATTCAGGTATTCATTAAGGACTCCTTTTTTTTTTAAATTTCCAAAGTATTACTTAATCATTTTTTTATTTTTTTTGCGCACTAATACCCCCCCCCCCCAGCTCTGAAGGGACAATGTACTCACCAGCCAATGCCCGGTGCACCACCCGCGGCATAACAGGCGTAGAAGTCCAGGCAGAAGACATTGAAATCAGCTTCCACTCTTTTCTTCTAAGATGTTCCAGGCGCCACCTGCTGCAGCCAGGACTTGTGAGAAGGGCATGGAGAAAATGTGCCACCAGGAGGCAGCCGAGGTAAGTAAACAGAGAGAAGAACAGAAGGCAGACAGAGAAGAACAGAGACAGGAACAGGTAAGAGCAGGGGAGGAAAAGAAAAGGGGGAGGACACAGAGGAGAGGAACAGAGAGGGGGCAGGAGAGGAACAGAGAGGGGGAGGGGGCAGGAGAGGAACAAAGGGGGGCAGGAGAGGAACAGAGGGGGGACAGGAGAGGGGGGCTGTAGCGGAGATGCAATATTCCCCAGGGTATCTCCGCTTATAATCCAAGTGAGGCTCAGGAACAAGTAAATAGTAAATCCACAGGCAAGGTTTCCAGCAGGTAAAATACAGCAGTATCCCAACAGCAATCCCAATAACTGGACGACACACAGTTTCAGGAGCATAACTGAAAGCCTTTAATCACAGTCTCCTTTTAAAGCATGCTCCCATGCAAGGGAGGGATTTACAATAATTATTACAGTAGCCAATCCTGTCCTGGTAACCTCCCACACATCTCCTCCCCTCAGCCAGCATCATAATCCCATTATCCAGTACAGTAATTCCCCCCGTTTCTGGCTGTACCCCTAAATGTAGGGGTACCTTTTTAAATCCTACATCCCCGGATACCCCTGATCTGGGTGAACAACATATCCAAAAATCACCCAGATCCGACCAGGGGTTCGGGAAATGTATGGAGGGAATAAAATGACCACTAACTGAGATAGCCGAATAAGGTTCCATGCGAATGGGCCCTGCGGTCGGTCCTGGCATAAGGGAACAAAATACACAAAAGCCTCTAGCTATAAAGGCTAGGGAGGGTTCGCCGAAATCCCCTCGTTCGGTACTTTCTATCTACCGAACGAGGGGCCGTTCGGTAGTTTGGAACCGAACGGACCAGGCTTGTGGAGGTCTCAGCGGTGTTCGCCTACTCGAGTGTCCGATTTTAGTTCCAGACACTCGACTGCAAAACACCGCTGTTCGGGAGTTTTAAATTGGCCGCCGCCACGTGTTCGTTTGTCGAATGGCGGCCACCCCCGAGAACAAAGGATGGCTACTTACTAGTCAATTACCCGTTCGCAACAATGTTGCAACGGGTAATTGAGGACACACTTCACACAGGGGAGGTCTGGTTGTTCGGTATTTTCATTCGAATAAACTAGGGGAATGAAACTACCGAACAATCAGAGTAATACAATTCTTTTAAAACACATATAACACAGCAGATCCCACGAATGCAGTTATGTACAATATATTTGCAGGATAGCCTGGTGCCATCCGCTACAGGGGCAGGAGAGGAACAGAGGGGGGGCAGGAGAGGAACAGAGGGGGGGCAGGAGAGGAACAGAACGGGTCAGGAGAGGAACAGAGAGGGGGGGCAGGAGAGGAACAGAGGGACCGACAAACAGGAGAACCGGGGGGACACCGGGTGAGGAGTTGGGGGCCCCCTGGAAAGCAAAAAGGGGGGCCCAGGACCAGAGCAGTATAAGGGGAGGGGAGAAAAACCGGAGAGGGTGAGGGCAGAACGGAAAGAGCCAGGGTGACAAATGTGAGGGCAGAACGGAAAGAGCCAGAGTGACAGATGGTGGGGGGGCAGGGAAGAGAGACCCAGGGGAGGCTCCTGGGCCACGTGAGGTCCTCAACGGCGGTACCGGAGTACCCCGCGCAGCCCCGCCGGGCCTATCCATCTTTGGGGGCCCTTGCCACAGCCCCTCGGTCCCGCCGGCCGCGGATGTGAAAAAGGCTGCTGGGCAGCCGCCCGCTGCACTTCCCGCGCGGCACCTGAAGGCCGGGAATCCAGCGCAAAAGTTGCAGGCCGCGTATCTTGGGGCTCCAGACACGCGGCCTGCAACTTTTGCGCTGGATTCCCGGCCTTCAGGTGCCGCGTGGGAAGTGGGGCAAGTGGGAAACATGGGGCCATAGTCCAGCGGCAGGAGGCAGGTAACCAGGCTCCTCCAGTGGAAGTCAGATACCCTGTTAGTCTGATTGGTAAAGGGGAGAAATGTGGCAGAACCAACCTCGCCACCGGCCACTGGAGGAGCCTGGTTGCCTGCCTCCTGCCGCTGGATTATGGCCCCATGTTTCCCACTTGCCCCACTTCCCGTGCGGCACCTGAAGGCTGGGAATCCAGCGCAAAAGTTGCAGGCCGCGTGTCTGGAGCCCCAAGACACGCGGTCCAGGCGATGCCTCGGGCCCAGGCTCCCACACCACAACCGGGCCCGAGGAGGAGTGACAGGGTACCCCCTGGAAGAGGTAGGGTACCCCGTTTAGTGGCAGGGTACACCCTGGAAGAGGCAGGGTACGCCCTGGACAAGACAGGGTACCCCCTGTAGTGGCAGGTACTCCCCTGTAGTGGCAGGGTACCCCCAGGAGCAGAGGCCACAGGGAAGGCCCCAGAGAGAGACAGGCCACGGGTAATACCTGGGGTGAGGATATCACCTGGGTCATGGAGTCGCCGGCCACCATCCACACTGCAGCAGCCCTGAGGGAAGCCAGGATTGCCTCAACCTCCATCCCTCAAGCTGTGTGAAGCTACAGGCCCAGGCAAACAGGAGCAGGAGGACAGGAAGCTGTTTGCTGGCACGAATCCCAAGTGGCACTGAGTTAAGACCTCCCCCACACTAACTTACACAGAACACAATCCCACCCACACATTCTTTCTCAACCAATCCCATGCATCTATCCCCACACTCCTACATGTGCCCTTGTCCGCTTAGCTGCCCTATCTCCCCAGGGCCTTGTGGGAAACTCTAGAATTATTTTTGTCAGAGTAAAATGGTGGCCGACCTCCCTTCTCCTATCTGCAGTCAATTATCAGAACACCGGTCCATTCGGTACTTTACTGTTTAAACCATGCTACCCCAGATAGCTTTGCCATGGAGCCCAGCCGTATACTGAAAGACTGTATGAAAGACTTTGGCTCCATGGCGATTGAACTGTATGTATGTGATCTGAGCGCCATCCGGTAATAATGTGCACTCAGATCTAAGCTATCTGGGGATAGGTAGAATGTGTATGTTCTATGTGATAAATGTAACAGTATGTATTTTTATGTATTTTATTGTCCTTTGTCTGTCATGTGGTTAATGGAGTTTTGCATCTGTCCTTGGAGATAATTGGATTACTTCCCAATTATCTCCAGGACAGAGAGGAGGGATTGTGAAGCATTGTGGGATTGTAAACTTGTGATTGGTCAATGTCCAATATGTTTCACAGTCTTCCATCTGGTCTCCTAGGGGAGTGTCCACCAGGTGGGAGACCTGCATAAAAGCCGGGCAGGTAGCCCCAGTAAATCAGTTCTGCTTGACCCTCAAACGAAGTGTCGTCTCTTTATTGGGGGGAATTGGATTGTATGCTGTTACAGTGCGACTGCCAGGAGTGTAAACTGTTCGTATGGTTTTTCCTGTTCGGCTGTTTACAGCATTCGTGTGTTTCCTGTTCGGGAGTTGGAGTTTCCATGTGTTTGCAGTTCGGGAGATTGGTGAATTCATGTGTTTGCAGTTCGGGAGATTAGTGAATTCATGTGCTTGCAGTTAGGGAGATTGGTGAATTCATGTGCTTTCAGTTCGGGAGATTGGTGAATTTGTGTGGTTGCAGTTCGGGAGATTGGTGATTGCAGTAGCTGCCTGTGCATCTGAAAAGGGGAATATCGCCTAAACGTTTTTTAACCTCTTTTAACCGTGCAAAATGGTCCGTTACAATTGGTGGCAAGCGACGGGATCATTCCCACAGCCCAGAAGGACAGCTACAAGACAACACCAGTTCGTGGATACACAAATTGAGGGCAACGCTAGGACCCGTACAGCACCCCTATCTACAAAAGAACCAACTTCAGCAGAGCAAGAATGGCACCCAGCTACATTCAGGAGGAGTTTGACAGAGAGTGTACATCGCAGGTGGCTTTCTATGGACCCAACCCCCCGGAGAGATATGTGCAGTTGGTGAGGAAACTGGTAGGAGAGTACCTGCAATTCCTAGCAGAGTTGGCCAGGGGGGAGAGACCCCAGCGGCCGAGCAAGTTACAGGGAGCCGAAGGTGCCGTCCTTCCTCCCCAGCAGCAGTGTGTATCCTTGGGAGAGGAGACAGTCGGTCTCCCTCCCCAGCAGTCAAGTGTGTTACAGGGAGAAAAGTGTGTCGTCCTTCCTCCCCAGCGGCAGTATGTATCCCAGGGAGCTGAAGGTGTCGTCCTTCCTCCCCAGCGGCAGTGTGTGTGTGTTCTTAGGAGAGGAGACAGTTGGTCCCTCTCCCCAGCAGTCCAGTGAGCCCCAGGGAGCCAAAGGTGTCATCCTTCCTCCCCAGCGGCAGTGTGTGTTACAGGGAGCTGAAGGTACCGTCCTTCCTCCCCAGCAGAAGAGTGTCCTGTAGGGAGCAGAGACAGTCGGTCGTGCTCCCCAGCAGCGGGACAATATAT